TGTTGATGCTTCTACTTTATAACGGTATAGAAATAATGTTTAGTGAGACATAAATGCGACAGATTATAGATTATTTAATTTATAAATTATCAAAACTCTCACATACATACGAAATTATATCAAAATTACAATATAGAGTATACCAGAAAAGCAAAAATGACAAGAAGAAACTGTAGTACGAAATCAGGTAATTAAATATTTACCATCATTAATGTTATAAGAGAATAACAATAATCAAAAATCAAAAAAATTTAATTAAACACTCCTTTATGTTCAAAACTAAATATAAAAAATTAATGGGTAAAAATAATCTTATTGGCTACAAGGAGTCAAATGCTGTTAACGGTGCGCAATTTATAAACAAAAATATCCTAGATACGAAATTTCGAAATTTTGTTTGACTTCTTGTAACCAATAAGATTATTCTTATCCATAAATTTTTTGTATTTTGTTTTAAAAGAAGGAAAAAGTTCAGGAGAAAACTCAGGAAAAACCGAGAACGCGGGAATGAACGCGAACGAAAAAACCTATCCTTTTTCCTACATCTTGAAGAAAAGAAACCATAACAGAAAATTACTTTATTACTTGTTAAAAAATGCATTACAAGCATCACTTTATTTGATATGTATTGCTTTATTTACAATTTACATTATATATCTATAATACGAATTGTCTTGTATGAAGTAAATAAAAAAAATTAAATAGTTAATGTACTGATTTTGATTATTAATTTTATACAAATTCCACCCCTTCACAAAAAATTTTTTATTATATTTTTAATTGCTTAATGTATTTTGTTTTTCATGCTCGCTCGCTCGTTTTTAATATGCTAAAAAATTTTAGTAATGGCACATTGATATCGATATAATTACTTATAATTTTATTATTTTGTTATTTTGTAAATGAATGTCTTTTAAAAAATGTGTAACATAGAAGTTATTATAAAACAGGTTAAAGCAAGAAGAAATGAAATATTATTGACAAAATATTTCTCTCAGTGCCAGATTTTTTCCTAAGAAAATCTTGAGAATATGTTTTGTTGATTTAAATTTTCTGGGAAAATAACAATATTAAGTAATTATTTGCCAAAATTATAACAATACAAATAATAACAGATATTTTTATTTTATATTTTTCTGTAATTTATATAGCTGTTCACCTTATTTGTCCGATAATAAACTCTTAAAAAATAAAGATTAAGATTTTTATTGTAAAACAAGAAAAAAAAGTTTAATTTTTAATCTTTATTTCAAAACAAGAAAAAAACGTTTTTTGCGTATGTGAAAATCCTTGAGCTTTTAACGTCGCGTCGCGCGTCAGCGAGAATAGAAGCGTCTTGAGATTTAGGCAATTGTCCAAGACATACGATTTAAGTATAAAAAATCGATAAAAAAAACAAAAAATTTGTGATTATTTTATTTCTTAATTGTATTGAATTTAATATATAATTGTTCTCATAATTTTAATTTGATCAAAAAGCAAATATATGTACTAAAATACATGCTACACGTGATAATCTGATAATAAAAAATTCCTTTTAACAAAAACTGGAAAATTTTTTGTAACACTTTTTTAAGATGAGTAAGTTAACACACACACATTTTTTTAAAATTAAAATAACAATAAAAGATAACAGTCTTGAAAATTTAACTTAGTTAAAATATAAATTAATCATAATAAAATTAATAGAATTAGAAGTTAAGTTAATAAAAAATAATTAAAAAATTAAAAATTAAATTAATCTGAACGAACAATGTAAAAAATTTTACCTTTTTACATTAAATTTTCGTATTTTTCTTTCTCACAGCATATTCATTAAAATATCACTGATTATTTTTGTTTACAACTAACGATTGTACAATATAAAAGATAAAATTACTAAATTACGCTCATTATTCTTTCACATTGTGTTTGGAAATTGACTTCAAAAAGTTAAATTAAAAGTTAATATAGTGACCGATAAAATATAACTAAATTAAGTTAAAAAGAGAGTTAAGTTAAGAATTTCTAATCGAATCAAGTTAAGTTGAAATTAATTAACTTTTTAACTTTTATAATAATCTTTTTAACAAAGATATTAAAATAATAATAATCCTAAGATTATTATTAAGAAAGCGTCCTAAACAATCATTGTACTTCATATTTTCATCTAAATGTGGACATTTTATCAAAATGTTATTTTCGATAAATTATCTGATTGTGAGATAAAATAAGCATCTTTTACTTTATACTCGTCATATTTTATTCACAGAGAAAATTTTAAACAATTTTATTTTTAGTGAAACTAGATAAGATAAAACAGAGCTTTTTTCTAGATAGCACACAATATTCATAAATATTTATAAAAACATTCATAAGATTATTTCAGTTATCATGACCGTCTTTTTCAAAAACATAATTTTGAGAAAAGCATATTTAAAATCCTGAGATGCAAATTTTGTAATTTTTAATAATTTACTTACAATTATATATTAGTTTATACTAGCTTCATTTTCATAATTTTATTTAAATTAATGCAAAATATAAATAAATTTTTAATTAACAATTTTTTTTTCAATTAAATGTATAATTCCTAAAATATTTTAATTGAGATAGCATTCTAAGAAGAGAGTCGTCTTAGGAAAGGCCTATAATGTCGTTCTGCTACAACAGACGAAACAGCATCGTCTCGACGGTGTCTCGTGATGACAACGCGACGTTCTGGGAAGGAACATCCGAACGGAAAATGCGAGCGTTTCACGATCGTTACCTTCATCTCTATTTCCGTTTATATAGTATATACACGTGTTGTTTTAGTTTTCTGTCCAGATGAGCTAATGCCACGCGACAGAGGACAGACGGATAAACGGTTGCTCTCTGGCTTCGAATTCTTGTTTTTTTTATTCCGCTTCTTTGCGTATCTCTGCCTTCTTTCTTAAAAATATAATATATACTTCTGTTTTCTGTAAGTGTTTTTTACATTATCACATCTTTTCATTATTTTAAGAACTGTAAAAAGATAAGTAAATATATCGTGAAGAGAAATCTGCATATTTTCAAGAATATAATAAAAATCGTATTATATTATAATATTAAATACGTTAAATAAACAAATGTGTTCTTTAAACATATTTGTTAATAAGCGCGAAATTTTAGAATTTTAATGAATTAATTTTTGTTTTTTTTTCTAATTTTAATTAACAATGTATATTTTCAGTAATTTCGATAATATTTGTGTTACAATTCATATATGTATATAGTATATATAAGACAGTAATTGATATTATTATCTTATTAATTATTACTTACTGCTTTTATATTTTTATAAATATTTTCTAAATTAAGTTAGGTCTTTATCGTTCTTATCAAGAAGATTTTCAGGAAATTTTCATTTTGTTAGATTTATTTCTTAATAATTTTCTAATTTAGGATGCATTGCTTTTTACAAGCGTTGTGCTTAATCGACATTGCTATTAAGTGAGGAGAGAGAGAGAGAGAGAGGGGAGGGTTCAAGAGACATTTGGCCTTAATTAATGATTTTCAGCGCGTAATTCATTGATGCTAGTTAGGCGGCCGCTATTAATTGTGTGTCCGTCATGCGAAATTATTCCATTCACGCTATTCTTGTTCCACTAGTATTTTTCCGAGTGCATTTAAGTAGTGTGCATTTAACGTCATTCACGAGGCTGTACCATCACACTTGCGCTAATGCGAATTACTTAATTAACGCTATTAATAACCTAACCTATAATAATCTAAAAAACAGGTGCTGATAAACTGAAACACATAGTTGTTGATAAGACTGTTTGTTAATAAAAATTAATTTCACAAAGAAAAACTAAGAGAGATGGTTTGTGATGGTATTTTAAATTAGTATAACAATTAAAAAAAATATTAATAATTTTGAAAATTTTTTTCTAAGTTGTCACTAATAGGCCGATATTTCTAGTTTTAAATTAATCAATAATATCCTGCTTTTTTTATATGATAAATATATCAAATAATATACTATATATATAATAAGTGTTTATTTATAGTAAATATTTTGTAAAAGATGACATGTATATTAAAAAAACCACTAAAAATGCTTGAGTTCTGTTTTGAATATGGAAGAGGATTCAATCAAATAAAAACAGTAATAAATAAAACAGCATAATACTTTTATTCTTGTTTTCCATATTTAACACAACGTCAAATGCTCCAAACTTAACTAATATTAGTAATCTTTTTTTTAAATGTGAATTGAAACATCATCTTTCACAAAATATTTACTACAAATATGAATAAACATTTATTGTCCAGATAGCACATAATATTTATAGAATATTACAAAATACATATTTGTAAATATTTATATGATTTATTTTAAATATTTTGTAAATATTTATAAGACTTATTTTAAGTATTTTTGTGGTTTTGGATTGCGCTGTTCATAAACATTTATTATAAATATTATGAAATATTTATTAGAAATGTTGTAATAAATGTTATGAAAATACTTAATTATAATTCAAGTACAAAATACTTACTAAAAATTTATTTGAGATTTATTTATATTGACAACATTTCGAATAAAGCTTTATATGAAATATTTATATAACATTCAAAGAAATGAATATAGTAATAAATATTTATCATAAATATTCTGTGCTATCTAGGTAATGACATCATTCGGTATTCACCGCACTTTATTTAAACCGTACTTTATTTATTTTATCTGCAATAAGAAAAGAGATATTTTTGTATTTGATAATATTTCAAAATTAATGATTTCATTCTGTATCGATCATTATTTTAATATATGTATAACGACATATTTTTTCGAGACAGTTATGAAAGGCATCAAACTAGGACGAAACGATCAAAATAAGATATCGATAATCATGAATTTTGTTCAGGATTCATATCAGAATAGCTTGAAGACGGATTTTAATAACCATTAATAGATGGATGAGACTGTTATGAGATTGTTCATAATAACGTCAACGTCGGAAGACAGTACATGATGAAGTGGCACTTACCTGATCGTTACAGCGAGCAAGACGATCAAGACGCCCACCAGAACCATAGCGATCAGCACCCCACCTATCATGTAGATACTACCGGTAGGCGGATCTGGAACAAACAGACATTGTTTCATTATTTTGTCCTTGTTCGAGATAAAAATGAATTTTTCTTTTATTAATCCATTCAAATTCAACATTCGAAGTGTTCAGGAGTAAGGACATTTAAGAATCTAAAGATCCTCATGTTTAAAATCATTGTATTCAAAATTTTAAACATATCTCGCTAAAAATATCAAAGTTTTTTCATCAAAATGATTGGATTGTCCATTCAAAAAGTAATAGAAAATTTTGATAATTTTAATCAAATTAAAAATTCGATCACATTTAATTAAAAATGAATTTATCGAAACGTTCAATAAAAAACGTTCATCCATTACTTTTTGTACGAATATCAAATCTCTAAATTAATTTTTATACAAAACTAAATAAAATTGTGCTGTCAAAGAGATCTCATTTACTTTCATCATGGAGCTCCATTTCGAGGATTTGCTTTTAAAGAATCACTTTGATAGATTATTATTAAAAGTTAAGAATTTAGAAACTTAGTATCTCAGTCATGTAAGAATCTACGAAGTTTAAAGTAATAATTAAGCACTGAGAGAAATGATTTGATTGAAAATGGACCAGAAGATTCTGATTAAATCAATAAAAAATATAATTAAGATTGTCAGAATTCGGATTGGTTTAATCAGAATGTTCTGGCTTGTCTGTTTTCAATCAAATCATTTTTTCCAGTAAGCTGATATTACAATATAGAAAGAAATATAAAAGTTATCTGTAAAGCGTTTCGTCGGGATCATTCTACGAGGTCTTGGTAGCTAGAAAGAGATTGGCGAAAACGGAAAGTGAACTGATTCGAAGCAAACTCGTTCGGTTGAGGAGGACGGTCTCCCGACGAAGGCCAAGTCACATTTTTTCCCGACTTCTCTCGCGAAAGAAGAGAAGAACCCGTTGTCCTTTCAAGTTCAATGCCACCTTTGTGAGTTCGACTCAGAGCAAAAAGGATTGCATGAAAAGGGAGTCGCTACAGAGAGAGACATCTCCCGCTTCGTAAGATTCTCCAAATCGTTTCATAATCGTTTCTATCCAAGTGCATCTTGTAGTTTCTTGATGGATTCGCTCTTTGCTTGGATCGCTTCGAGACGAAACGTGGACAGCTTGCATGACTAATTCGTAGAAGCGGCATCCGTAAACACAAAATACGTTTTATGCAGTAAAACGAAAAACACTTCTTAGGAAACGAAAGGAGCTATTCCAATAGAAAGGAAATGTACGATTTACTTTGAAAACATGAGATTTTCAGGGAATAAAAAGACTCTTTGTTTTCTGAAAGAAACAGATGTGTTTTTCTTATCTTGTAGTAAGTGTCCGTAAAACGTCTTATTTCTTCTTAGACTAAAATAAAATCATGTAGACTAAATCAGGATGTCCAATGAGTTGTGTGCTGCGTAGGACAATTTTTTAAGTATACCTTATGTACGTGATGAGAGCACACGTGTTTGGTGAATCAGCGTAATATTCTGATCGTCACGGCGGAACACTTTAAGTCTCGTCCGTGAATAGTTTGGAACCTGTCCAGTTTGTCGCAAACACAGGTTGCCATCAGCTGACGCCGTTGGCAGATTCCGAGCTTTGCTTTTTTGGCCTCATCGGAAATAATCGTCACAACATTTCAAGAAATTTGAACAACCTCTCTCGTTGCGGAGAGTCGACTCTGACGATTTTGCGGATTTCGTCAATTTCAATCAGATAAAATCGTCAAGTCAGTGTAATTGATCAATCTTGGCGGATAGTATCGTTGTAATACTTCAGAGAATCCATGATGTTTTCACAAAGAGATTTTTAAGGATATTAGATTATCTTATTGTTAACGGAGGAAACTCCACATCATTAAACGTTGAAAGAAAGTTAAATGAGCAAGTTGCATTGAGAGTTAATCTTGGGAATATTTGAATGACATATGTAATAAATAGAAAAGTGAAGTATCGTAAAAGAGTATCTTGAAATTTTATTTTTTTTTAGAAAACGAGACAAACTCCACATTATACATTCCCGTATATCCGTGTATTAGCTATTATATTAAATATGCATAATTACATAATTATACATATTATAGTGTGTCACATTTGAAGCTACGAGCGTAATTAATGTATCTCCAAAATTAATTTTGTTTCAAGGGAGACATCTTTTAATGATCACCGGAGCCTGTCTAGGTGGACATGCCTCTGAGATTTCAAAGACCTTACTTCTTTTTAGTGGAACTATATAGGCTTTTTTTGGAATAACAAATAGTTTGAAGGATAATTGTATCCGAAGGTTCAAATAGGAATACATCCTGTATATTATCATTCATTGTTATCATTATTCTCATAATTTAATTTATTTTCAATAACGAATAATGATCTATATTTTGAAAAATATTCCGCTCTTACTTTTGCAATAATTTATTATTAAATCATTATTTTTCATATCAATTAAAATTTGTTAGTTGAAAATTATAAAAAAACTGTAATACTTGACTCATGATGAATAGCAAAAGTATATGAAAATACGTTACATAAAGATTTGTATTATTGGTGATATGCGACGATATATACTGTACTCATTAATAATACCGAAGCCTTCTTGCGACTTGCAAGGACAGCGTATTAAATTGTATTTTAATAACTAAAGTGCGCGATACTGATAAAACTGACTGTCCTTGCGAAGTTGTGTCTTTCATCTTAAAACTGTTTGAGTTTTCAAGAGATGATTTAAATTCTTATATATTAATCTTAAAAATAACATACATTCATTAATATATATTCATATATCACATGCGATTGTGTTTATGTGAGTGTATATGTATTATGCAATATTATAAATGATTAGAAAATAACGCATTACACTTTACAGTCTACTTTACTTTTTTCTTACTAATACATTGATAAGAATGTTATACTTTTTATTAATAATAATAATAATGGTAACACGCGATACATTTTTTAAGTAACGATCATGAATATAATTAATCGTTATTTATTATAATAATTAATTACAATATTAAATAATTATATAAATTCATCTCGCAGTTACTTCCGTAAAATTTTACGACGGTGATAAGTCCGAAAAAAGGACACCGAAAAATCTTCATTAGCCGACGACTTCCTGTGCAGGCGATTATTTGAAAAGCATTAACGTACTAATCGTTACTTTGTACACATGCATTACATGTAGGTATAGAACATTCATAAGCGAATGAATAAAAGAAGATACCGTATTATGACTATATAACGATTAACCGTAACCATTATATATTTCAGATTAAATTAGTTAAATAGCAACATAGACAATTTGGACGCCATTAAAAAAAAAAATCATTGAAAGTTGATGAAAAGTAACGGAAGTTATAATTTTTTTCCAATGGGTAACAATCGAGTAATGGCAATAAGCTATTTTTTAAATAATCTTTCCTCTCTATTATTTATTTTATTTAGATATTTTATATATATGATATAATACTACTCAATAAAATTAAAGAATTATCTATCCACAATACAAAAATAGACAAAAAAGAGAAATTCCACCATAGTATGGTGAATATAATACGATGTAATATGTGTCATTTATAGATATAGAATAGTGCTTAATAAAGTATTACAACACTTTTTAGTTTTTAATTTTAAAAATTGAAAAAAAGGTTAATTATACTTAGTTAATATCATAGTTCAATCAAATTCTGTCTGTAATTTTTTCATTCTAATTTTATGAAACAAATCTGAAATGCAGTTATCTTCAGGCTTTCGATCAGTCGAATATCATTTAACTAATATTGGTAGTGAATTTCGATATTATGGGGCCGTTCTGAGCCGGTTTCTGACTAGCGTTGCGGTATAACGTAAATGTAAATCACCGCAACGTGACTCGAACGTGACAGGGTACTCACTCAATTTACGCAATCCGGCCGCGCAAACGACTGCTTTTTTTCCCGTGATTCACACGCGCCGTCAGGATTGCCGATGACGTGCGAAAAGAATCGAGGAAATATCGTTCTCGACGTCATCTTCATCATTTGTTATATTCCGCGAAACCAATGTACATGACGTCATCATTTATGTAAAATTTTACGAACGAAATAGAGAGAGAAAAATGTATTCGGAACGTTTAATAATAAAATATTAAATTAAAACCAATGAATACCCTCGATGAAGACATGCTGATCCAATAAGATTTGATATTGCTCAAAAATAAAACCTTGCGAGATTTTTCAACCGATTGATCGTCAAATAACTATCCGCGCGATTTATAAACTTCGATTCTATCTTATTATATACCCAGCTGCTGCTTAACCCTATTTATAACAATATAATCGAGACGTTGCATTATCCTGTTAAAAACAGCAGCACTGCTCTATCGCGGATAAGGCGCTTGTCGAGCGATAAAACAGATTAATAACATAAATAACTTACCCGTATAACACCTTTCATTGGTGCTCTAAATATATACTAAATACGTATCTATGTTACATTTACATTGCGTTTCATTTCATATCAGATATAATGGTCGCGTTCAGCAAACTCAACAGTTTTACAATTGTTTTATGATTCTTCGCTGAGATAGGACTATTCGTTTAGATCTAAAAGTATGTATAATCCAATCAGAAAGACGAATCATAAAACGGTTGCAAAACTGTTGAGTCTACTGAACGCAGCCATTAAATACGTAATTAAAACGCAATAAATGTGAAATATCCAAGTCAAAATATATATGTATTAAGAGTGTGCATTAATTTTAAAGGATTTTCAAAAGATGGTGTAACTAGTACTATATCGCATCGGGTTATATTGTTGCTACCTTCATTTCAAAGCACCATCATGTGGCTTTAGTTTTCAGTATGTGTTATTTTGTCGAAGTAAACAACATTATTTTTTTGGGCATTGAATATGTCGAATTTTGTGCCAACAAAACGCAATTTGCGGGAAGCTTTGCGTGTTTGTTTCCATTCGAAGAAAAGTGCTGCTGAAAGTCAACGATGTTATCGGAAGCTTATATGTATATATATTCCATCGA